AAGAAATTTTTTATTACGTTCTCTCCTGAAAAATATTTATGGAATATTTTTTTATTTTCTATGTCAATCACCAAGAGGGCATAGCTAATGGGTTCATGCTGTTCCACATTAACTGTGAAACTCTGCGAATCCGAAGGATGCGATGAAGAAACTTTTTGAGTGAGACATTCAAAGTCAGCAAAAATGCAAAAAGGATGCTTTAGAGTTTTTCTTAAATTTGTAAATTTTTTGGAATGCTTACTTTTTGAGGAGCTTTCCCTTCACACAATTTTATATGTGATTCTAAGGTGGATTTTCTTTGAAATCCTATAAGACAACATTTACAAAAGTGATGAATACCTTTACGAGCAATTAATAGTCTATTTAAATTAGTAATCAGAAAAAAATGATTTTTATGTAACAATAAATCTATTTCTTTTTTTACATCAGCATTACTTTGTTTACTTAATTACAGTAGAGGAAAAATTTCATTTTCTTCAAATGCAAATACATTAATTTTTCAAATTTTTTAACATCCTGTAATGTTATTGGAAATTTAATCTTGTTTATTTTGAAGTACGTCAGATATTTTTTATAAGCTGCTTCCCTATTTTTATTTACTTTTTTAGCATAAAGTTTGGCAGTGACAGCATACAAAAAGCATAAATTGTCACTACATCTTATATTCAAAACAGCCTTCTTATTTTTAATTTTGGGGGGTAGCTCTGCATTTTTACATCCGCCTCTTATGTGTCTCAAATTTTCCACGTGAATATCTATATAATTGACACGTTGTATTTTCTATCCACTACCATTGCGAATAAAATTCTCTATAGCGGAAAATATTTCCCGAAAGGAATTATCTATGGCAGTAAATATGTGCGATCATGTTAAAATACGCTCACAGTTAGAATTAAAATAGAAACTTCTTTCTATTTCGCTTTCTCCCTCATATTTACTGAATAATAGACTAAGACATATAATCCGTAAATGAAGAATATTACTAGTGTTTAACAAGAAAAAAATTATTGGTCGACCCTCCTCATACAACACATAAGGATCTCTATATTGTTGACAAAGAGCTCTGTACGAGCGAACAAAACCGTGGTGTGCCTGTCGGCGTTCCCTAAATATTATCATATTTTGTCAGAAAAATATTTTGTAGGAATCATGCATATTCACATCACTATTTTTACCATTTTTTCTAATTGTAATATTACTACATCTATATGTTATTAACAGGAATAAGACTACTAAGTGTAACTTAACTAATTATCTTTTTTTTTTTTTTTTTACTTTTCCTGTTAATTTTTAAAATACTCTTGAAGATGGACGCAGGCTCTTTCCACAACATCAATTTGCGAAATCGGTATGTCGAAGCGATTTTTTGGCTCATTGTTGTCGTTAACTCTTACGAAGCCCATATAATATGAGTTTCTGAACACCTTTATTTCGAGTATAATGTTTTTCCCCAAATTTATAGTATAAGGAGGGATTTCTTTCGCTTTTCTCTCCTTTTCTTCTGATAAATCTAGATTAAATTTCTTAGTTGTTTTGCGACCTTTCTGGGATTTTGCAGGGATTTCATATTCTTCATCGGAATCCTCGTCTTGTAGAAAATTAACTTTTCTTTTTAGGGTTCATTCTAAAAACAAATTATATAAACCCCAAAAACTAAAATAATATTTTTTTAAAGTTTAAAACATTTAAAAACTACAAAAACCCATAAAGAAATTTTCCTACCTTTGCTTGTTGATTGCTCCATCGTTCAAAACAACAGGAATGCAAAGAGTCTATGCGGCAGAAAACGTGATACAAGCCGGGATGAGCAGCAGACAAAACACACTAAAGCCAGAAAAGATGTGCATGTTTTCAAACTACAGTTTATATATACCCTTGTTGTCTTACTTTGCGACTTCCTAATAATTCCTAATAATTACTTATATTATCCTCTCTTATGTAAATTACTTCCATCCTTTTTAGCACTCATTGTGACTTGTTGAGATGTTATTACACCAAGCTCCAAATTAATGTATATTAGAGTTGATTCATACATTTGCAAATGAGAAAGGACATTCCACTTATCACGAACAATCTAATTCACATCTGTCTGTAGCAAGTTTATTTTCATTTTTAACGAACATCTAACGCCGGAACTCAGGTCCGGGACTTTCTAAACTCTTTCGCAGCATGTCACTTATTCAATTAGATGCCCGCCACTTCTGATATTGGTTCAATCTTTTTGTTTAACAACAGTGAGAACAAACTGCTGGCTAAGCCTTTCTGTCTCTAGAAATTAGAGGAGTTCCCAAATTGTTTCATTCTCTATTTTAATTTTTTCTCCATTTGTATCATTCAGTATCCATATATCTGTCCATTCGTTTATATATATAACACTTTCATAATCATATACATTTTTTATCAGCGATGTTATAACATTTTTATAAAAAAGCTAGATGAATTGGCGTGGTCATTTAGTACTATTTGTAAGATGTTCTCGGATGCTCTATTTTATTCTTCACCTATAACCTGATCGCTAATTTTTGTTTTTACTATTTCTTTCTCAATATCACTTGGATTTAAATTTATTCTATTTCTCAATACTTATAAGCCCTCCTTGTTCCAACTCATTCGTTTTACATATCTCTAAGCAAAATTTTTCATACGCAAACACAAAAATCGCATGCGCTGTTGTTTCTTCTCAACAAAGACAAAATTTGCTTATGCTAATATGTAAATTATTATTTATTTTATTCACCACTATTTTTTTTAAAAAGTTGATCATTTGTGTGCTCTTTCCTTTTCATTTCCTTTGCAGCATAATTGACTTCCCACATGTTGAAGCCAAAGGTTATGTGAGATGAAAGTTATTAACTAAACCTGCATTTCTTTGAACACATACTACATCTTTTTGCTTTCCTAACTATGATTTTTTTTCAACCTGGCTTGAGTTTTTTCTTTCCAGCTTTCGTTTTCCTGCAGAAGCGAAACAGATCTCAAATAAGTATCAGTGCAGTATACAGGGTCCATGATCTAGAGAACATCATGTATATACTACTGTTATCAATCTAGTATTTTGGTGCAAAGATTGACTTGTATAAGTAAATACATTGTCCAAAGGGAGTGTCAGTTATGTGCTGCTGGATGAGGAGGTGACATGAGAGGCCACGTTTCATTGGAAAGTGCCCATGTCATCAGGTGATTCTGTTGTCAGCTCTCTTTCACACCTCCTTTCATATTCACAGAAATAAATGTGAAACATGGAAACCAAAAATTAAACACAGTGAAGATGTTTTTCATAATATATGAATTTTACATGACCTTGCATGTTTCATTGTTTATTTTTAAAAATAAGATCATTAAAAATAGTGCAGTAATAATGTTATTTTGTAGCCATTTTTTTTTTTAAATAAAAAAAAATGTCAGCAGTTTTACACCCCATTTGAGTGGGATTTACCATGATCGTTGTTGATTTAATGTGACATTTGCCAATATTATAATGTTTTATACAAGATTTTTTTTTATTCTTTTTTCCTAAAATAATTTTCTTTAATTTAATGAACTTATTTATTTTCCCTTAATCCAAATATGTGTAATAATGCATATAGATTTTAGCACAAAAATCAAAAAGAAATATAATAATTCTTTATCTTAATTTATTAAATAACTATAATTATCATTTATTATCATATAATTATTCTAACTCATTATCAAGAAATTTCATTTTTCTCAATGCATATTAATTAACATACATTTTAGCTCAAAAACGATATATAATAATTATTAATTATAGTATAATTGTAATAATTGTTATATTAGAATTCATTGTAATGATAATTAAATAATTATAATAATTATTATACGATAATAGTTATTTATTACATTTTATCATAAAATTATTTTTATATAGCAAAATTAAGTTTTGGAATCTTATATTTTTACCATTAAATAAATAAATAAATGCACAAATTAAACACAGTGTAATCAAATAGCTAACTACAAATGATAATCAGCATAATATCTTGGATTACTTGAATATAATTCTCTGTCCCCTTAACACTTTCAGCCATAATTTATTTGTTTAAACGTTAAGACGTAGCACGTGCTCGCCTTATAATAAACAAATTCACTAAGCCTGTATTAGAAGATGTGCGAGATAATTTTCAGAGAAGATTTTCAGATCTCTCCCACATGCGTGTAATTAATTCCCTGTAGGCTTCTTTAAACATCTCCTGGGACTTATATATCCCATTGTGGCTGAAAGCGCTTTTTGAACTGTGTGCAGATTGTCTGTGGTTTTTGAACACAGTGCAGATTAATAGGGGGGAGAACAGAAAAAATTCCTACTGCACGATATATGTCCACCTATCCTATTTTGTGAATAAAATGGTTTGAATGATGCATGCATGTTTGTTCTCATGGTTGCCGTTAAACTATATCTGTAAGTAAATTTTTATTAATGTAATATTTTGGTAGTATATGTATATCTTGGAATCTGATAATTCAGACTGAAGTAATTTGGCACATCATGTAATTTCTTTGGATTTTTACAGCAAAATTATTTTAAATTTATATCATTTTAAGAATCTTTTTCTAGAACAACAATTAGTATTATATTTACCCATTCTCTGCTTCCCTGCCATCTAAACTTATCTCATTGTAGATAACAGTGAATTGTTTGAAAGTAAATTATCCAGTAACACTTTATGAACTTCAGGCTTATTTTTTTACTTCATTATTTTTTATTTATTTACTTATTTTTTTCTACTTTTGCAGGAATGTCAAATTTATAAATTCCTTTATAAGCAAGCTTTCTCTTTTTCAGATTCTCATTTAATATTGTGTATTTTTAAATTTTAAATATATTGTGTAATATATTTTACCTTTATTTATTTTATCTTTTAGTATTTTATCTTTGATGATATTAAATCACACTAGATATGTCATTTGCTTACTCAACTTTAATACATATGGTAATTGTTTTGAAATGTATGTTATTAATTTGAATTTTTCAAATTTAGTGTTGAAGGACCTGATACAAAGAAAACTGCTTGTTATGACATTGATGTGGAAGTAGTAAGTTTTGTTTCCAATAAAAATTTATAATAAAAGCAAAATGTATTAGATGTTAGTTTGAATACAATTAAAAATGTACTGTCTTCTTTTCCAGTAGTATGTTTCTTAAAAAGTGAGCACATTGCTTGAGTAATTGAAATTATTTATTGAGTTTGGCATTAGAAAATATATTTAATGCAAATTTGATAAAAATATCTCTAAATTTTATGAAAACATTTAGTAAGATAGGGGAAGAAAAGAGAAATATATAATGAAATATTAATTTCATGTGAAATTTGAATTTTTTTATGTGTAAATTGATATTGCCTTTTTTCCTTATAAACTTTTTAATGGGCTATAGACGTGTGAACAAAAATAATACTTATATATCTTCAGATAATAAAAATTCCCTGAAAATTACTTGTCTTTGAGCTCATTGGAAATATTCAAATCTTGTCTGTATATTTTTAATGTAAAGAATTATTTCTTTAACAGCTAAATCATATATTTCTTCAGTAATGTTTTGAAATATGTCAGTTGAAGAAGTATTTTCCAATTTCAAGCAAACCATAGATTTCTCTCCTGTTGGAAATTACTTAGAATATTTCACCATTTTCTTCCGTGCTGCCTTTGGTTTCCCCCTTCCCTTTCAATGTTTTAGCTTCTCTGTCTCTTTTCAGTGAGAGAAAGTATTTCAGTATCAGTATATTTACCATCTGTTTTGTAAAATTTCATTTTTACCAATGAAGGAACTTGTATCGAAAAACTGTTGATTAAAGACTAGTGGCTAAAAATATTTGACATGATAATAACCTTTTTAGTTTCATTACTTTAATTAAAAAATATAAAATATTTCAGAAAACATGCTTTTCGAAATTTTGTCAGTATTTGCATTACTACAACGAAAAAGTAACTAATGTTAGATTTAAAAGGGGGGGGCAGCTGTAAATTTTTACTTTCTCGTACGAAGTCTGTACATAAGGACAGACTAAAGTACTCTTTTTCCCAAAACAAATTACAAAAACTAATTTAAATTGCATTCAGAAGAGATTTTTTTTATTTTTTTATATTGTCTATACGTATGTATGTATCTCACGTAATTCAAAAGTGAATAGCCTCAGAACGTTGAGATTTTGTATATAGGACTTCTATAACATGTAGTTATGCACCTCCTATTTTGGTTGCAATCAGCAGCACCGAAAGTATTTAAATATATATATTGTTGTGTTTTTCTTTTCTGACAACAGTTGTTACATTCAAAATCGTAAAAACAACCTTGTATTTAGCGTAAGTATATTGAAACACTCAATCGATTTCGAGGGCAGCTAAAGGTCCCTCCTCATCAGGAGAAAGAAATACCTAGAAAGAAGAAAAATAATGGGGAAGGAGTCTCAGAAAACACGTGGTCCTTATCAGCACTGCACGTGGTTATAACCGGATTTTTAATCACAGTTACACTGGCCACCTACTTTTACTGAGCCAGGCTATCTGATCAAACATGTAACACAAAGGACAAGAAAAATTAGCGAAGTTAAAAATAGGGAGCGAGGGGCAAGTGCACCTTCACTCTCAAAATCTGAACTTCGAATAATGGAAAGCAACCACTGAACGGATTTTTATACCCTCTGGTAGTACCAAACGCGAGGAGGTAACGCCATCTATCGACAAAAATAACTGAATTAAGATAGTAGAATTTTAAAGGCATTAGGAAGGACTGGATTGGACTTCAAATCATTAACTAAACCTGCTAAATCTTTGTGAATATGAAAAGCCTGAAGAAAATCCAATTCACCTATGAAAGAAGCCTTTTGGATAATTTTTGCAGACCCAAAGTCAAAATTATGGTTAAATGTCCAACTATGATACGCTATTGAAGACTTGTTAATTTCGCCTTTTCTGACATAAGATTCATGTTCCTTGATACGAAACTTCAAAGCTCATTTTGTTTGGCCAATATATCTTAAAAAATAATAATTGACCGTGAATTTTCTCCCGTGATTATTGATAAAGCCGTTAAAAAATTTTCAGATTCCCATCAAAGAAGACATTCCACTGTTAGAAATAATATTAATGACCTTGTCGTGCTTCCATTTTATCCTTCTGTTAGCTATATAATTGCACAGATTCTCCAGAAATTCAGTTTTCAAGTCGGTTTTTCCCCTATTAATAAAATTCACCCTTCGATTCTAAAAGATTACGTTTCTGTCTTGAATTCTTGGGGAATTTATAGTATATCGTGTCAGTGTGGTTTAAGATATATTGGCCAAACAAAAAGAGCGTTGAAGTTTCGTATCAAGGAACATGAATCTTATGTCAGAAAAGGTGAAATTAACAAGTCTTCAATAGCGTATCATAGTTGGACATTTAACCATAATTTTGACTTTGGGTCTGCAAAAATTATCCAAAAGGCTTCTTCCATAGGTGAATTGGATTTTCTTGAGGCTTTTCATATTCACAAAGATTTAGCAGGTTTAGTTAATGATTTGAAGTCCAATCCAGTCCTTCCTAATGCCTTTAAAATTCTACTATCTTAATTCAGTTATTTTTGTCGATAGATGGCGTTACCTCCTCGCGTTTGGTACTACCAGAGGGTATAAAAATCCGTTCAGTGGTTGCTTTCCATTATTCGAAGTTCAGATTTTGAGAATGGGTAAATATAATACTAACGAATAACGACGACACTTGATGAAGTATCGAAACACACTTTATTTAGACAATACGCAATTAGACAGCTCCAAAACATGTTTTACAGTCGTCGATAAACTACTATAAAGACGCTGACACAATCAGCGACACAGCCTTCAGGTTATCAGGCAATAACGGTGGAGACAGCTTCCTGCAAAGCACCAGAGTATAGCTCCCGAGTCTGCTTGGTCCTTCTTGGAACTCCACGTACTCTCGAGACTCCCCACGCTACAACTCGCGATGCACTCGACGACACACGAGCACAGCTCCCGACTTTTCGGTTCAGTCGTTGCCGGAGCTCTACACGCTCTGTCGATGATGCATTAATCGCGATACACTAACAGACTCCTTCGGTGCACTCAGCACTCACTGCCCGGCTGTCTACTCGATCGACTCTGCAGGGATTGACTCGCTAAACAAAACACCAACTCAATAATAACTATCTCTCACTCTGGATGAGGCACTCACTCGCACTCTAGGCGAGGCACACACACACTTGAGATTACTGACTGTGGACCTGCAGGGTTTATATAGCTTCCGGCTTTTGTTCGAGTGCATTCTGGGCTAAACCAGTAAGAATTCGTTCCAGAAGGCTCTCCATCAGTCCATGGCATATAGCAAATTATGTTGCTAAATGGGCGATTTCTTGCAAAATTTGGCAACCCTGCCTTCCCTTGTCATTTTATGGCAACCCTGAAACTGCTTTGCGGGGAAGCCATCTTACCACGCCTAGACATTTGATAATAATATACATACACCCACTACTCAGCTCAGTGAACTCAGTTTTTTTATTCCTATATGTTGGTAAATTGTGTTTTTTTTTTTTTTTTTTTTCCCCTTTAAAAATGATTGAATTATGCTATTCTTATCTTCTGCTTAAGGTTTTTATGCCTTTAGTTAATCTGCATGCAATATTTGTAGAATTATCACAATTTAAAAGTTATTTAAATTTGGCTGAGGTTTTTTTTTTTTTTTTTTTTTTTTTACTGTAGCAGCTGTATTTGTTTACATTTGAATTACATTAACCGCCAAAACTACGAGGAATGTTTCTTTTCTCATGAAAATAATAACAAATATTAAATTAAGCATTTATAACATAAATTTACATTGAAAATAAAAAAAAATGCTCTTACCTGTGGAAAAAGCGAATGTTGCGTTCGTGCAACGTCAGCGGAATAAGACTACGGATGTTTAGTGAGTAGGATTGTACTCGTGTGATGTTTCTTTTGAGTGGAGCGCAGGATTACTTTTTAGCTGTATAACGTTTTATAAATCTACAAATCACTTTACTTGTAATTAATTTAATATTAAAATATACACTGTATTTCTTTTACAAATACAGATTATTTAAAATTAGAAAAGCTTGATTACAATCATGATTTAAAGCTACATTACATACTTTGCATCTATAAACAGTCTGGCTATGGTACACACTTTACAACTCTTTACAACACTTTTGTTATCAACGGACTTTTCGATAAAATGTCTACTATCTAAATGCAATGGTTTTTGAATGCTGAATTTACTAGGTCTTCCTGTTGCTGATCTATTTCTGGCTAATTCTACACTATCAATAGGAGTTTGCAAAAGAATAATGCATTCTCGCATCTGAAATATAAAAGAGACTTTATATTTCCAGCAGTAAAAAGTGGTGATATTTAGTAAGTTTAGATACGGTCTCACCTCATAGAATTTATCAATATTGTCAATTTGACTATTGTAAAATGCAAATTATGCTTCATATTCCTGTACTGCAAACGTGATATCAATTCTCATACAACAGGAACAGAAATGTCCTTATCAAAAGACCAATACATTTTCTCTTGAGGTAAAGAATAATATCCTGTAAGCAATAATATTCCAATAAATCTTCTCATATAGGCTTCAGATGCAATAAATTCTGCCCCCCCCCTCCCCGTTTTTTTTTTTTTTTTTTTTTTTTTGCTTAGCGTATATATTTGTTTGTTCAACGAGAAGAGAGTAAATGTCTAAACAAAAAAGATAATCGAAAATCTGTGCACTTGTTTTACCTTGTGTTTTGTCTTTTATAATTTCTCTTTTATCTCTTTCTTCATGTTCTTCCTGAGACATAACTAATAGTTTCTTTTTTATCCACTTCAAGATTTCAGTCTTCTGCTTGTAGCATTGCGCGCAACCAAGATGTGACTGATGAAACTGGATAAATGACAGAGTCTTGTGAAGGGTTTAAGTCCCTTTTTATGCAACGTAATAAATTACAAGTGCGTGCTCTTGACACTCACAAACTACGCCAACTCGGCGGTAAAATAAAAATAATAACCTGAAAAGAAACTAATGACAAGACTCTAACTACGAGG